CAAGCGAAAGAACTTCGAGATTTCGAGCGACAGCGACGACGGCGGCAGCGACGCGAATGAGGATTGCGTGGATATCCAGGATAGCGAGTAGCTAGGCGTAGATAATGCAGCCCGTACACTCACCAATTTTTCGCCCAGTTCTTGCCTAGTTCTTCTTCTACTCTTGCTAGTCTAGAACTGGCCGAAAATTTGGTGAGCGTACGGGTGACGTAGTGGCACGCTTCGCCAGTCATTTAGGCGCAAACGCAGATTGCCCAGACCCATCAGATTCAGCGGGATACTCGAAGTAGAAGGATATGCGACGAAAGTCACGTCACATTTGCCCAATGAAATCATGACAATTTTACCAGCCGGTGGGCACATTGTTGTTTTTCTACGACAGATTGCAGTCTATATGTACCTGGTCGCAGCGTTTTCGCTACATCCCATTGCGGACGGCTTGCAATGCATTAAGTTTGCAAAAGTGGCAGCTATAGTTTAATAAAGATAATCATTTACTCTGTATTATACAGAATATCGTGAAGCGGGCATTGGGTCAAGAAAAGAGTCATTTGTTCTTTACTCACCAAGGAGTTTATTATGCACACTGTTTCTTTTGCGCACGAAAACTATCCACGTAGAGTTGCTCTGAAGCGAGATGCCGAAAAAGTATTGTATTTTTCAGGTAGCGTAAACTCATACCATTTTCGCTGTCGTCCTTGCTTCTAAGGCTAGAAGTGCAAAACCTTAATACTCACTATTAGGTATGAGAGCTAAATAATGCTATTATAAACAAATTCAATGAAGCTATTAGTACATTTTACCCGAGCTGCCGTATTTTAATACAACACAGATAATTTCTACATGTAGATACCGGTAGTTCAATAATAATATTATTGACCACTCGCTGAAGCTACCTTATAGCTCGGGCATCATAAAGATCACTGACACGGTGTTCTGCTGCATGTGCTATCGGTAGTGCGAGCCCAAGCCTGAACACACTACACTTTCAATATTCTTACGAGTACCGGAACTATGAATGAGTAAGATATTATTATTACTTGCCCTGTGCACGCTACTAACATTAAAAACAAGAGGTTATAATAATATGAATGCATAAACAGTATCAAACACCGATAGTCTTTCTATCTATATCTGAGCAACGCCAACGGCAGCTCTATATCGGCTTCTGAACCCACATTTAGCACTGAAATTAGAATCGCATTTGCCAACGGCAATCCTATCGAGCTGCTATATTTAGGATAGACGTCAAATTATGAATTGCCTCCTAAATACAGCAGTGAAAATAGACGCCGCTATTCTGAGAGGCCAAGGCAGTACATGCGTGTTTTTCTACGATACTTCGGCCAGGAGGAAGTGCCGATCAGTATTAGGTCAAAGAAGGCTTTGAAGACACGCTGGGAATATATTTATACAGCATATTGTGCACCTACGGGGATCTAGTCATTTTCTGACGGGGTGTCTTGGAGCTCAATTCTCTCAGACAGGAGCTACCGTGAGTTTGATCGTCGAGCGAGCTATACGACGAAGTGCCGAGCACTTCACACTTCTCAACTAATCTATGATGCGCCATCGACAGAGATAAATTCTCCACCCACAGCACTTTAGCGCAAGCATTTAGCCGCCAATTTTGGAATACCGCTACGGTTTTCAGCCGACTGCTAGCACAACTGGTCCTATTCATAGAATAGAATTTGGGATTACCGTTGGCGTTACTCTAACGTACTTATTCAATAGCCCCAGTTCTATTCGTAAGTCACACGTACTTAAATAAAATAGCGGTACAGAAGTCCCCTCAATAAGCGTAGAGGGCCGTCTGACAAATTCTCATAGGCAAATCATTGCAAACTTTTGATTTTTCCAAGGTACCTTCAATTTTTGTGATCCGATATAACAGGGTATACGAGGTGCAAGCAACGCCTTTCCAGGGGACTCTTCAGTGCTGTATCCGTGTTGTTCGCCGGAGCCAAAACCATGAGCCAGGCCATCGATCAACATAGATCCGGTGGATAGTTAACGGTACTGTATGCTCTGGATTGGTGCATTTTGCAGATTTGAAAATGCAGCACCACGAGAAAATATGTTCAGCACAGTAAGTATTCTGACAAACACAGTAAGATCCATTTTAGCACACGAACAAGGAATGACCTTGGTCTGTCTCGACTCGAGACTCTCGAGCCGCACTGCAAAATGCAAAACGGAACGTTCCAAGAATTGTCTTTGTGATTGGTGGCTTGGGCCTGCAAATTGCCAAACGGCGGAGCAAAATTGGGCACGAAGAAGCTGTCTCTCCGGAGAGACTGTGGCGGAAGGCCAGGGAGGCCAAAGCACTGGAGGCGTGGCTGGCACCACTGCAGACGCCGGGTGTCCGTGCCGCTAGTGCACTTACTGCTGGTCTGCAGCGCTGGTAGTAATATATACGACAAGTTGGTGACGCTAGTGACGCGTCCATAAGTATGTGCAGCTACAAACTGCTATACAGTAGCCAGATACGATGTTGGAAATTGTTTAGGTACCTCAAAAAGTATGTATTTCTGCGCGTCGCTTACTCGCACTACAGAGCATGACCTGCATGCCTCTGACGTCCTACCGTTTGTGCAACAATTTGGTGATCTTCAATATCCAAGCCTCGTTTTCTGCTGCGATTTACCATGAGACGCTCGCCTTCTCCGTCGACGTAATTGCGGCACTGCAGTGCAAATTGAAGATGCACGCAGTCTCTCATCTTGAAGTGGTACCGACATGGACAATGTAGTACATCCAAGCTGACAGGCCATCCTGTGCTCGGCTGTCCCTCTATCTCCATCCTGGCGTAGTTCACAGAGAACTGAGCTGCAACATCGAGCGCTTCTTCAGATCGGTCTCGCGACGGGATGTAGAAGCGCTGTGGAGGCGTAGCAAGCACACGAAGGATGTTACTGCTCCCATTGTCCACCAGAAAACTGATACTGCTCCTGCTGAACGTGTGTTCCGCCAGATAACCACCACGCCGAAGTGCTGTTGTTCGTGCAACCAGGCGCTTGTCCGAGATACGTCTAGGCGCAAATTCTGTCGGTGCCATGGACCGATGACTGCAACAGTACTGCATCTGTTGAAGCAGAACGGCAAGCTTCAGCTTGCGCTTTTGCGTGTAGTCACGTTTGAAAGCTCGGTTAAAGGTTTCGCACGGATTGTTTGTTGATGCGAAGCCTCGTGGTGTAAAATAAACCTGCCACTTACAGAAGTTTCCTCGCAGCCATTGCTTCTCCATGTACACACGAAACGTGTCCAGCTCCGAATGCGTTCTCCAATCCGCCAAGACTTTCATTTTTCGTGCCAAAAAATCTTCCTTATTTGCAGCAAAGTGAAGATCATAAATCCCACGAAACACTTCAGCAACCAGATTTCCATGCAGTCTGTTAGTGCGCCCCTTTAGGGCAAGCCGAACCTTAGCTACGACATGATAATAGCACATAAGAGATATGTACTCACCAGCAGCACCAAAAACGGTTTTAATACCGTTAAATTGGGCTTTGTCTGCGTCGCCCATAATATACTGAGCATTCAGTCGCTTGCCAACTACTTTGGTGTAGATTGTCTGCAACCCTGACAAGGCATCCGTGTAGTGACGTTCTTCCAGCTGCGATGTAATAAAGAGAGCCGTTAAGTGGGACTGTCTCGCGCCACCGCATACAATCACAGGGTAGCTAGTCTGCGCTAGCTGGAACGTCGCGTCGACGTGGAGAACGAATGAGGCCGGATTCGGTCAGCAGAGCGCAACAATGACTATGTCGTCACACCCACAACAAAAGGGTGGGTGTCAGATCCATCACCAACAACGGGCTTGCCGAACCCGTCTGTTCTAGCGGTAAACGTGAAAGCATCATGCTCCGCCTCGCGGCCGCTGTACGCCGCGGCGGCTACACGTGATGAAAGCTCTCCGTAGCGGTCACTTCCACCTAATTCTGTGCGGCGGTAGTGGTTCACAGCATTTTGAACTTTGCGTAGCTCTGGCAGCTCTTGTAGAGTCTTCCCAAACTTCCGTATCATGGCATGCAAGATACGGAGAGGGAAAGGTTTTCTCTGGTTAACTCTTGGATGTATGCCTTTTGCAAACGTGTGACTTTCGGCTTCTGGCGTGGATTCGCCGGTGAAAAATGTTCGCCGAGCTCAAAGAGCGTTACCGCGTTCAACGCTAAACAAGTAACCTTCTTTCCACGCCATTGACACTTTGCAAGCGGCGCCACAGCCTTACACTGCGCGCATTCGCACGACAGGAGCTTGTAGCGCATTGAGTGGGGAGTAGAAGACGCACACAAGGTGCATGGCATCAGCTGGCTCTTCGCTGCTGTGAACGCCTTCATACTCTGCAGCAGCATGTCAGCATCGGCTTCGGTCAAGTCACAGGCGAGTAAGTTCCAGTCGTGGGTGCGTGGCATGGTGTCGGGCCTGGGGGGGGGCTTCTGTTTGAGGGTGAAAGCTGAAGTGATTGAGTGGTGTTGGCAGAGATGTTGATATTGTGCACGCCATGTAGTTTTGTGTGAATTTTCTCAAAGCATTGTGTTTTCCAAATGTGTTTTGTGTTCTTCCACATTATTATGTGCTCTCCGTATGTTTGCTGTGAAAACCTGTACTTGATGTGTTTTTCAATGGTGCTGCTCACGCTTCGTCCAGCACCACGCCTGCTTGACCATGCCGTTCCAAGCCACGAATGGCTGAAATTATTTGTACTTAGTCCATCGTGCTTGCTTTTAGCATTTAATGCTGAAAGCAAGCAGAAAGTGCGCTCACCGCAACGCTCAACAGTTGAGTCAACTTGGTGTCAAGTTTGCGGTGGTAAGGTACGCCAAGAAAGTCGCCTACAGTATTACATGTATACACGAACCAATTGATCGATTTAGAAGCTCTTCTCTGTTCCGACCGCTAATCGGCTTCCCGTCAAATTGGAAGGCTCACTTCCTCTTCTTCGACAGTAGCATTAAAGCCAACCAGCGGCTGCGATTGACTGGAGGGTGTTGACGATGGAGTTGTCCCCGCAAGACCAAGAGTACTGCCGCGACCTAACCATGCAGCTGCTGGATCGAACTCTCTATGACTGTGAGGAGCTCGGTTTGGGAGCGACACACGCTGGAAGACACGCGGACTTAAACGGTGCGCGGTGGAAGAAACTTCAAACCCATCCGGACGTGACACTGTATGCTGACCGAAGCCCGAACTCTGCTTTTCTACCGGGCATGAACCGTGAAGACTGGGAGCAACCGGTTGCGGTGGTGACTGTGGGTCATTTGAGCTACTCGCTGAACAACTTGCTCCTCGCTTTGTTGACGCCAACTGTCGCTTCGATTCGTCTTCGAGGTGTGCTCATGGGTCGACGACCCGAGAAAGACCTGCAGCTCGTTCCTATTGTAAAGTCTACAGAGGCGTCTCCTTTCCAGTTTCTTGGCGTCTTACGCTTCGTGAACACACAGCACTGGCCGTTGACGATGTTTGTGGACCCTCGAGAGATGGTCCTTACGCTTGCCACGGGCGAAGTGGTCACAGCAAACGGGAGACGCTACGGCTACGAGATTTTCTTGTCCGTTCCTGTAGCCCGCGACAATAGACGTCCACTGGCTCGCACTCAGGTTCTAGAAACACGAGTTTTCTGGGAGCAGCCTGATGGATCTGTAGGCATCTACAGCAAGCTCATCGTGGACATCAGAAGCCATTTGCCCGAGTCAATTAAGCAGGGGATGCTTTGTCGTGGAGTGATGCGATTCTGGAAATTTATTCCTCGTTGTATCGAGACGAAAAAGCTGCGCTGGTGTTTAAAGCATAAGAAGGTATTAATCCGCGAGCTTCAGAGTCAGCCTCAGGTCATGGGAGGCCCTGCTAGCTGTGGTGGGTGTGGTGTAATGACGTCAAAACCCGTTTATGGAAAGCCAAGCAAGCGTGATGAGATCCGATGCAGACTTTGCGATGCATGGCTGTGCTGGAAATCGTCCTGCCGTGCGTCTTGTCAAGTCACAGCAGTGGTAAGCGAGAGAAAGAATATATGCGAGAAAGAGATAGCGCTCTGCCCTCGCTGCATTATCTTCGTGCAACACCAAAGGGCTGCCACAATCGCGCGCTCGGATCTGGCGGAAACTCTCCAGACAACTAAATAATTAAAAATATGACAAATTTTTTTATAAAAACAATAATTCGTTTCGTGCTGTTATGCTGATTGCAATTGAACCGGTCATTGAGTCACTTTTTAGTGATTATTGTCTGCGCTTCCTTCAACAGCGCAACAAAACTGACAATGCAGCATGAAAAAAAATCGGGAAAGGGTGATCCTAAAAAACGACAGAACATGCCAAACACATGTATTTACTGTTTCAGCACACAGCAAATCATTTGACTTGACTTCTGTATACTTTTGACCTTCTGAGTGTCGCAATAAGACATAATCGACGATTAGAGGTCACAGCAGAAAAGGGGCCAGCCGCGCTGGGCGCCCCTTCGGCGCACCCGCGGTTCGCTGCCCTCGCAATATGGGAGATAGAATGTTCTGGAAAGTGTAGTGCTCGGCTCGCTGGTGAGCTCAACGCTGGGCCCGCCTCCGCAAATACCGCGCGGCCCTGCTTCGCGGGCTCTCCGCGCGGGCTACGCGCCTCGCACCCGCTCACCTTAGTTGGCGCCGCGGCTATGGCACCCACGTCGCCCAGCCCCGTGTGTGTTACGATGGACGTGTGTTGCTCCTATTTTCTCCTAAAAAACGAGCCAGCCATTTTTTCTAACTGTACAGTATATGGCGCTCAATTTTCTCGAATGCTAAATGGCGTCGTGGCCTCGTACACAGGTACATCTGACAGTCTTCTGAATAGCTACTCAGTCTATTTAAGCTTAAAAGTACCGTAATGTCATCATTTTAAATAATACTTGAAATACTTTAAAAAAAGTACCTCTCATTAAAAATAACCGGTTCTCAAAACGTACTCTTTCACTCTTTCACTCTTTTAGCTATTTTAGCTTGTTTTAAATATTAATACATGTACACCTGCATGAGAGGAAGATTGCATTGCTGCCTGCTGCCTCATCGCACGATTTGCCCTCAACACGCTCGAATTCCAAGTACGTTCCAACTGGGAAAACCCAAAAATGGATGGATAAAGAGAGTTGCGCTGCTCACGAACGTAGCCTTCTATCAGAAGGTGCATCCAACACATGTACAGGTATACTCTTGAGTCAAGAGTCTTGACCAGCTCTGTGCCTTCAAGTTGGTGGTGCCGAGCACATACTGTAGCTTTTTACGAGTCACGACCAAGCGACCCGGAAAAACAAATCGCGTCCAAGCTCCTCAAGCCGAATCTACAGCAGCTTCTGAGGACATTCCTCCTTTTGCGTTGCCACTGAAAGAAGCGATGGAGTTATCCCCAGAAGACTGCGAGCGCTGCCAGGATCTCACCAAGCTGTTGCTTTCGAAAACTCTGCAAGACTGCGAAGAACTGGGATTGGAGACGACATACGGCGGAGCTCATGCAAACTTGGACAAGAAGCGCTGGAAGAAACTCCAGTCTCAACGGGACGTCACGATCTACGCCGATCGCAACGCCCATTCAGCATGGCTTCCCATGATGCGTCAAGAAGACTGGGAATACCCGGTAGCAGTGACTGCCGTGGGCCGAATGGAATGCTCGGTGGACGATGTACTATTCGCCTTGATGACGCCGAACACTGCTTCTCAAAGACTGCGGAGTTTTCTAATGGACCGACGTCCTGAAAAAAATTGTCAGCTCACCCCAATCGTGACTCCCACGCAAGAGGAACCTTTCCAATTTCTCGCAGTCTCGCGGTTTGTGAATGTACATAGCTGGCCATTCACGATGTTCAAAGGTCCAAGACAGATGGTTCTTACAATTGCAACGGGTAAACTTATCGCACTGAATGGAAAGCGGTGCGCTTACGAGATGGCTCAGTCAATTTCACTACGTAGCCAAGGCCAGCACACCCCAATGCCTCAACTACGAGCTGTGCAAGCGCGTATCTTCTGGGAGCAGCCGGACGGATCAATTGCCGTCTACAACAAACTCATCGTCGACGCGAAATATCGCTTATCGGATTCCGTGAAGCAGTTAATGCTGTGTCGAGCAGTTTTGGGCTTCTGGAAATACGTACCACGCAGTCTCGAAACGAAAAAGTTGTGGTGGTGTGTGAAGAACAAAAAAGCGTTAACTCACGAACTCCGCACTTATTCTCGTTCTGAAAAGTATGAGGGATCTGCAAGCTGTGAAATCACGACATTGAAGCCTCAAAGTAAGCAAACTGTCACGAATCAATGCGAGTTTTGTGACACTTGGCTATGCGGAGGATCGAAATCCCGAACTCCCTGCCATCTCAAGATGGTTCTTAGTTGTGAAACAGGATTTCTCGAGCAAACGCTAATGTTGTGTCCGCCCTGTGCCGCATTTGTGCGAAGCCGAAGCTCAGCTGCAATTGCTCGAGCCGCGCTACTAGAGGTGGAGCAGAGCTCGTTTGGTAGTGCCTCATCATTTACCAAAGCGTCATCTCGGGAAGACGACACTTTCTCTACGGCATCGACTGAATCGACATACTGAATCAACTCTATTAAGCTAACCTTTTTCAGCTTATTAGGCAAGAAAGCCGGGATAATAGCTTAGGCTAAAGTTACTAAAATGAGGAGGCCAACTCATTTTAGTGACACCCAACCCTTTCGTCACAGGAAATGCCGTAACCCCAGTACCCGGAGATGTAAATCTGATGTCAGCTAACTTCTCTTGCAGGGCGAAGCTCCCCCCCCCCGTGTCAGGGCAGTACTAGAGTACCATCACAGCCGTAGCATAACGTCCCCGTGACAAGTACAGAATGCAGTCAATCTAGCAATAACAAGAAGGCGTACGCAAACGTACAGTAGCATATTCTAAATAGCTCTCACTGTTATAGTGTGCATTTTGTATGGCAATGTCGAAGGGCTGCTGAACTCGATAGCTCTTTCCATCTACGAAACCCACACACCTCTCACAAGAGACTCTCGAGCTTGCACAGCCGCCGACCATTTAATCTGCATATCCTTCGTAGGATAGCGAATGGCAGCATCAGGTAGGCAATCTAGTGCTAGCTCCAGAGCAACCTCAGCAGTAGCAATAACATATGAAAGAGTCGATGGTGGAATACCAAATATCTCGCACAGAGTTTTCTGCTCTATAGATGCAGTGTAGTAACGTAAGACACAGCCAAGATCTGCAGGTTAGAACCGTAGCTTGGATGAGCGCCCTCGCTGACCAAGACGCTAGTCTTGTAGAACTTGTAGAGCTTGGCAAGAAGCACCTAAACCGAGGCAGGAGACATCGAAACGACTGCCACATAGCTGCCGTAAAGTCCGTCACCATCGATTTTCTGCCATACAGAGTCTTGAGGATCGTGTAGACTCGCCACAGTTAGATATTGTCTTTCTTTAATGCTGCTTCTAAGAAGATGCTGCAACACGAGCTTCCTACATCGATGCCGGTGGCCGCAGCTTTTGCGGTCACCACGGTCTTGACGTTCATTGGCAAAGCTCGAGCAAGCGTGTTAGCAAAAATAAAAATTGTGCCATTTTTTCAGATTTGAAACGGAAAAATTAGCGCACCTCCTCGGACAGATTAGGTTTTGTGCACGCAAATTCATACTGATTAGTGATCTGCGTCATTTTTTTAAGGCCCCAATGCAATTTAAACAGGAACAATCATGCTAACGACAAAACAAAAAAGCAAGAACCCCAGTTTTAGCATTACAAAAGGTAGAAAACATGATCAGTAGCAATAAAACCACAGCATAATAAATCAAACCTGTTGTGCGTTGTTGCTGTCAGAGATTTTCTCCATCGGTAGCACAAGAAGTACATCGCTTCGTACTCTTTTGCCGCCTTAATAACGGGATCCCGACTATCACTTTCGGTTACTGGAAATTAAGGATCTACATTGACAGCTGGCCGAACAGATTTAATCATCGCAAGTCTCGCGATCAATATAGCGCTCTGCCGCCGACGAGGAATCCGATCGGCGGCCTCACTTTGGCTTTCACCACTCAAACACTTATGGTTTTGTAAGAAGCATACCTAATAAATGATGTGACGAATAAGCTAGCCAGTCCAAAACTACGATAGTTTTTGCAGTCTGTGTTGCAACCCTACCAATTCGACGTTCTGCTTCTTTTGATTTCGGTTCCCAAGACTTGACTTGGGTTTTCTTTTCAAGCCTTCGACCCTGTCAAGCGTGGCAGACACATCAGCAACATTTACCGACTTTACAATTTTCGAAGTTATCAAACTGGGATTAGGCCCGTCTTCATACAGCAACAAATAATCGTACTACCTCAGCTCTCCATGCCTTTAATCTAATCTCGGTTTTGACTATCTCAGCAATAAGGGCTAAGAATCGCTCCTCACGCAGTCTTTCTCACTCTTCGCGGCGTTCATCTTGCGCTTGGCGCCGCAACTCATCTTGGCGGCGCTGGGTATCGCGCTCACGGCGGTAATTTAGCTGCCGAGCAGCGTTGTCTTCCTCCATGGCTACAATAGTGATGCACCAATCATCATTGTCGTCTGACTTTAACTTGTCAATCAGGCGGTCAATCTTGCGCCTCTTTCGAGCAGACTCGGACAGTACCTCAGTACTATCGGCTTGGATCTTCTTACAAAGCTGCTCTAGCTCATTATGTGTCTTGCCGGTGCGAGAATTACCAGCAGCAGACACTGCTGTCGATTCCAATCCAAATATTGCTATAAGTTAGGTTATGTGTATGAACAGTGACGCATTAATGGGTAAAATTGTCTACCGTGCTTGACTTGGAGGCATCGTCGGTCGCGGCCCCGCACTCCATTTGGGTGAGGAGCGTCGTTACGATGCTGGGTGTCTCCTTAGGGTGATGCGTCGGATTCTCCCCGTCAGTCGTTCCTAAGGGAGCTTCCTGGGGCCGACGTTACCGTGTCGTCCAGCATCAACATGCTGCACCGACCTTCAATGAGCCGATAAACGCGCTTGGCTGGAGCGACATCTGTTGGGCAGGACGGATCTCCTGTTGATTTGCGCGTGTTCTTCAGAGCGTTAAACTTCCCTAATAGCACCAGCATCACGTGCTGTAAACCTGTCGGAAAACTTGGTATTGTACTCTAGCTGCACCGCAC